AAGTATGTTGGTTGTAGGATGGGGTTAATCTTTATTAATGCAGTTTCTTAAATTTTTCAGCTGCTTGAGGAATCTTTGAGCTGCTTGGATTTTTGACAGAGGATTAATGTCAATAAGAAATGTGAAATCAGGACATCACAAGCCTCCTCATTCCCTATGCTATCACACCATGCTGCTTCCCAGAGAAGGGAGGCAAGGGAGAGAACATACCTCTAGGTCTCATTAGGGAAAAAGGAAAAGGTTAGTTTAGATTTTTCTCTCCATACTTTATATTATAAATGCCTCTATCAGAGCTAATTATTTGGTGCTAGAGAGCTTTGGTTTGTATTTTGGCCATTTTATTAATAAAATTGGTAGATTTTGTGCCTTCTGTCTAACGGTGGGTGCTTTTGAGCGTAAGCAAACAAAAGAGAGGGTAGAAGTCATGCTGGAACAAATAAGTCATTTTCGTGTGTTTGCTTTTTTTGTTCATGCCCTTTTTCAAGTGGGATGTGCAGGTTATGTACCACATGAGATTCTAACACCGTTTGCTTTTTTTTTTCCAACTTCCATTTTTTCATTACTACTGATTCTCTTTAACTAAAGAAGAAACAAAAGAGCAGGGCAGCTTAAAGGAGGAGGAGAGGGGGGAAAAAGGAAGGAAATACCTGAGAAATAAGCCCCAATGGAGCTTAGTGGCTGCCAGTCTGCCTTTTCTTAGTGTCATATTTCTAGAAACATAGTGCCATCTTCTCTACTCTTTCAGGGACTTGGCCTTGTCTTCTCCCTCTGTGTTACAGCCAAAGACTATCAATTGGTTTATTTATTTTGCTTTCTCTCTGGTCTAGCATATTCCCTTCTACACAGTTATGTATTAATTGCCTTGAAAGCAGCAGATGGGAGTAGGGAGCAGATTCTAGTCAAGATTAAACATCTGAAATTGTTCAATAGCTACCCCGATAGAGGCGGTGCTGGGCTAGGATTGGCATGATACTTTGGAAGTTAGCACTGCTGGTATTGAATACCTCAGCACACATCAAAGAGCAATGGTTGTGAATGGATCTGTGCATCAAGGACAGAATGGAAATGGTCAGAAAACTTGCCTGGGGAGCTTCTGGCAGGCTAGTTCAGCCTTCCACGTAGAAATGTTTTGAGGCCACAACTGTTCTTGCTGGTCAGGGAAAAAATAACTGGAAATGTAATTTTTTATCGCATAAGTTGTAATCCCCTAGGCACCAATATATATATCACGCTTTCTTGTGTATATAGATTCCTGTTTAAGAATAGTTTCCTGGCGGTACGCTTACTTTCACTGTGTGCAGTGACAAATTGCGTTAGAGATTTTACTAATGTCTTTGCATAAGGAATGCAAACTCGAGAGCTGGGAGAGATTTGGACTACACATCGTAATTATCATATCCAGCATTTAATAGAGTCGTTTAGATTGAAAAAGACCATTAAGATCATCAAGTCCAGATTTGGTCTGTTTGGATGTCCTTTCCTGTTTTATTGGGGTATGTCACTCAAACTAGTGATTTTAGATGCTTGGTATTTCTCTCCCAAATCATGCAGGTCATAAGCGCGTGCCACAAGCTATGAGGTTGCTTTATGTCTGCTCTGGAGTTTGGGGTGGGGTAGATAGGAAATGGTTAAAAATGAAATTTGAAAAATCAAAACTCTTGCTTTACATGCTATTTGCCCATAGAGCACAAGCCTATTTCAGTTCTGGAGCTGTGGCTGCCAGTGGAGCTCACCTGCCTTTGGGTAGCAGCAGCAGCACTCAGGTAAAACGCAGCATCCCATATGTAAGCTGCTCAGTAGATACAAAATTTAACAACATTCAGAAACATTTACTTTTTCTGTTTGACAAACTCCCACACATTCCTTGGAATGTATTTTAGGTGCTCTGCAGAGAGCATTCCCATGGCCTGTTTGAGGCATATCCTGGTGTTTGCTGAAGGGTCCTAGAACACGCCAGACGTGCTTCAGAGCCGAGACAGAAGAGCCATGCTCCTGGAGAGGTCTGGCAGACAGCATTTCCCTGTCACTGCTGGACATCGGTTCTGGCCTGTTCTGATTTACTGAGGTGCAAAGCACTTTTCATAGATCATGAGCCTACAGCATTCATGATTTCTTAATATTTCCAAAATAGAATTACCTTCAAGATTTATGTGAGCTAAATATCCTCTTATTTGCTCCTTTTTCCCCCATATGGACATAATATTTTCCCCTAAACTGTTCCTCTCCCTTCTTTAAATGAAGCAGAAGTATGAATTAAAGATCAGTTTCCCTGGCTCTGTGTACAATAGTGTTAAATATTGTCAGATATAGTAGGTGGTCTAAGGCTATTGTGTTCTTTGCTAGAAAAATCCCAAAGTTTACTTGTAGCGAATATAATAACAAGGCCAATGGTCACTTCACCATTCTTTTTGGACATCCCTTTGCTCACATGCAGAAGAGACACCATAGACCATCAGATCAGTCCTGTTGCTTTTGGGTTCTCCCTTCGGGGCCCAGGGAGTCCCAGGAAGGATCTGCCCTTACTCCTTGTTTTACCAGGAACCTTGTAAAGGGGAATCTCCATTAGGGAGAGACACTCAATACTCTGTGTCAGACTGCTATAAACTGTCTTTTCCTGGTGTATGACTTGCAAATAGAGCAGTTAATTGCATCTGTAAATGATACCAGCTTCTGAGTTAGGCCTGACCTTACAGCCTGTACCTTCTTTTTCTTGCAGTGCTCTTGAATTGGAGAACTGAAGTGGCTAAGTCGTTTATTTACCCTGCCCTGCTTTGTAGCATTCTTACAGGGAATTCTCTTGATTCTTGAGAGGAGAATAAAACCTCCTCACATATGCGTTTTCTGAAGCATCTGAGACTTTTCTGAAGATGGCATATCACAGTGGCAACAAGAGTAGCTCCGTGACCTCAGACACCAGCCCAAAGGTGCTGGTGGCCTCCAGGCAGTGCCATCGTCCTGCACTGCGGCTGCTGCCTGGGGAAAGTGGGGACCATTCTGTGAGCCCTGACTTCTGCTATTAGTTCAAGTGGTAGCTGTAAAGGAAGAGCTGTGAACATCTGTACTGTAGCCATTCAGGTTGTAAAAGATCTTACATTGTAGGAGAATCCTGCAAAGATTCCTTCTATTGATGTTGGAAGGAGGTGAAGACAACTCTTCGGAGACCCACCAGTGTAACATAATACTTGAATTTCAATGCAGCAAGGTGCTTGAAAAAACATTGAACTAATTTGTCAGGTTATCGAAGCTTGTATTGTATTATTGTATACTGTTCTTTTTCTTTTTTTTTTTTTTTTTTAATAGGCCCATGGATTTTTGTTTTTTACTTAAGATCTTCAGAAGCTCTAATACATCTAACACATCTTCCTCACCTTTTCCCAGATAAAGTTATATAGACCTTTTCATATCCTCAGCTCTGGATAAACTTCCTTTCCTTCTAGATCAGCCAGGTAATCTGTGCATTCTGCTTTTATGATTATAGAGGATTTTATTAAAAATTGCATGAGTGGATGTGAAGCAGTGTGCATGGGTGAGTTGGAGTCTTCTGTTCTTGTTTTGTTAAATGCTCTTGGTCTCTCTCCTTCCCAGAGATTTCTGCAACCTCTGATTTACTGGGCATCTGTGATAGGGCTGTACTTGGAGCAGTTTATAATTCAGAATTCATTCCATCCTTTCCTTACTGTGCTGCTATCTGAAATTGTCACTCTGTGCCTGGCTGTGGTGTAGCATAGATGCATTTATCTTAAATCAGGTAGTTCAAGTCCAAAAGTTATCTGATTGCAGTACCATGGAGCTGCACGCGAGTGTAAAAACAGCCTGAAGGGAGGGTTCAACTGCTGCGTTACGTCTGTCCCACAACCAGTGCCTGGGTTAGCCAGGCTGTATCTACTTCAGGTACGTGCACGTTGCACTCGCAGTGTGGCTGTAGTGGATATGAACTCTCTCACTCGGAACGTGCAGTACATTCCTTTCTTCCTTTCTGTAGCGTGGTGTGATTGATTTTGATCCAGAGCATCGCCACTACTGTTTTGATATGATTGAATGAACAGATTTCTAATAATATTAGCATATTTTCTAGCAGTGGTCTTGATACACTGAGAAGTGGTCCCATATGAAAGTTAATATTTCTGTAATTTCTTTTGCTAATTGTTTCCTTCTGTCTGGCCACTGTACTAACTGTTTCTAGAAGAGACAAATCTTTAGTAGCTGCTGTGTTTGTCTGTTGAGGGCGTAATTAGGATAATGTATTCCTGTAATGACACAGTTAAGGAGGACTAGTTCTCTCTTTTGTAAGTGATTTTGGATAGATCACAACTGTTTGGTTTGGCAAGGACCTCTCTTGAATCATTTATGTTAATGAATGCGGAAGAAAACACCTACATCTGAACCGAATTTCCATTCTCTGTAAACTAAGTGCTGCTTCATGATATCCTACACTGTTTTCTCTCTTGCCTGTGTTATGATAGCTGCTGTGTATGTGTGTATGAGTGAGGCAGAAGCAGCTGTGAGAGCAGATAACCCCAGCCTTGCTCTCCATGAGCATTTGCCCAGTGCACCCCCACCTGCACAGAGCTGCACGCACATATGGAATGAACAATATAAGGGCAACTCCGCACCCCTTCCTCACACACTCGCATAGATAGACAGCACATAAATTGGCTTGTGCTTACTAAGCTGGAAGTAAAACTGCCTCAACTCTGGTTGTAATTTACAACTCATTTTAGCTAAATTAATAGTCAAACAATAACATGGAAGTTCTAAATTGTTGAGTGGAAGTGATTGCCAGGCTTACAAATTGAGTGTTTTGGGTGTCCTCATGGCACAGATTCTGACAGATTTGTTCCACTGCAGGCGCCTTTGGGTGAAAGTAAAATCTTCCACATTATTGTATTGCCAGTGAGAATGTAGAATCAGCACTTAGGTATGGATTCTCTCAACCTCCCTACAGAAATTTATCCTTCCTAGTTCAGGACTTAATTTCTCTCTCATTTTGGTTTTCTCAGGTTCTCGAAGCCGGCACCAATGTTCTTGGATGATTCCTTCAGGAAGTGGGCGCGTATCAGGGACTTTGTACCCCCTTTTGGAATTAAAGGACAAGGTAGGAGAAAACTGTACGGCTGTTGAAAAAGAAGGTGATTCTGCAGATGCTTGTCTCATCTTGTTTTTCTGTGGTCCCTTGGGCTCAGATTTTTTCTCTGGTTTCAGAGAATCATTGTACATGTAGGTCTCAGAAACCCAAAGGGTTTTCACAGCTGGAACGTGGAGGATGGTTTAGTGCATGGGGAGAGTCAGTGCAACAATGGCAATTTAGACCTACCACCACATTCTGGAAGAAGCGTTTTGGCATTGACTGCTGTAGCTTGTAGCATCTTTCCTGACAGCAGCAGAGAGTTCAAACTGATTTAAAATACCTTTAAGTCAGTAATTCTCTAAGGAACAGGAAAGACTCCTCTTTCTGAGCTTTGGAGCCTTGGGGTTGACCACTGATACAAATCTTCATTTTCTTTTCATAGCATTTGGTTGTATAATTATTTTACAGTTGTACTACCTGTGAACTTTTATAATGAATAGGAAAAATCTGTCAAATGCTTTAGTGGTGATTTGTAATATGCCTTGTCCTCCAGCTGGAGCATGGCAGCAGGGGCTGAGTCTCAGGTATGCTGTGAGAGAGCAAGAGTGGTGCTGGTGGTGATGAGATGGGAACCAGTAGCCCACTCAGCAGCTGGTATGTTTTGCAGGGGACACAAGCTCCTTGCTAGCCAACATATGCCACTAAAGGCCTCTCTGGGTGAGTGGTGGTGGAGCAGAAGGCTTATGCTCACAACAGTCGTTTGCTGCAGGCTTCCTGAAGTCTGATGTGTTTATTAAGCAGTGTTTGTGGCATTGCATCGACTTCCAAGATTTTTTTTTTTAAACCCTGACAGACTCAAGATTACAGATAGACCCATAGGACTGAAATACCTGATGGAGAAACGACTGCAGCCGCAATAGGCTTGGGTCTGTCTCTCTCAGTGGAAGCAGATGTTGTAGAACAATCACTGATCAAATCAAAGGCTCTACTGACAAATTTCTTTTGGCTTGCATCAATTCCCTTCTTTGTTTTGTATATGTCCATTCCTTGTCCAGTCGGTCTTTTGCAGCTCAATAGGCAACTAATTACTGTCCTCTCAATCAGCCAGCAGAGTTTGCAGCAAAGAAATAACAGTGGCAGCACAAGTGGAAGGCTGCGTTGACCACAGGAGGGCTTGTCCCCTTCTAACAGGCACACAAGGTGCCCAAAGCTAGGGCAAGCTGCTTGACCAACGTGGAGGTGGGATTTGCAGATAACACATGATGTCAGCTAGACCTAATAAAAATCATTCCGTTAAACTGAATCCAAATGGAGAAATTCACCAAAAGGGGATGACGGAACGGCTCTGGCAGCCTTCTCCGTGGGTTTGTTGCCAGCTTGTATCACCACTGCAATGTTATGTAAATCTGGTGTTTTATATTGGATTTCCTCAGTTAAAAAGAGAAATGAGAAATTGCCATTATTTAAATGGCTGTGAGCTGAAGCCATGGGACGGAAACCGTTGAATGGGTTATTTTTTTTAATGCCCTCCTGGGATTGAATTTTGTGCCAAGTTTCAGTCTGGAGCAAGTTCTGTGTGTGGGAGGGTTGAATTATAAATCTCTGTAGCCCAGGATTTCTAATGGCCGTGCTGACAAGCTGTGAGTCCTAGCAATGCGAATGGCGCCCTTTCATGTTACACATCACTTGGAATTCTTGCATCAGTCTTTTCTGGCTGTCCCACGGGATGCATTCTGGCTCAGCTGAGTGATTGGATGATGGGATCAGCACCTCATTAGGGTTTTCAGTCAGGACAATCTAACGATATCCAAACAACTGACCCAGGCAGGCAGTGTGGAGCTCAGTCACGTGCTGGTGCAAGATGAAGACTATCAGAGCTGGGATGTGCATGGGAAAAAGAGCAGTTGGGGTGGCTGAGAAAGTGTGGAGAGACATGCCTGTGTTGAAACAGACGGCAGGAGTTCTGCTGTGTGCGTTAGGAGCCCTGTAACACCCTCAGATGAGATTTCCGACGTGCATCACACTGGGAAAGGCAGTTGGTGTTTATAGACACTGACTGTAGCTGGGTTGGTAATGGGAAGATTTTGCGGAGAACTTCGGGGAATATCACCCGGTGTTTTCAAGTCACTATGATCTAGTCCAAGTGCAAAATGGCTTTTTTTTGGGTGTGAAATATAACCACAGGATGAGCTCGCTATCAGTAATGCTGTGTGTTTCTAGAAACTGATCTGTGGTATCTTGAAAGTACTGAAACTATGAAATCAAGAGATTCTTAGCAGCTTGAAGGCTAATCCACCATTTCTGCTTTCTCTTGTTAAAGTTTCTCTCTATTCTTCAGAGTTTTAGCTACATTTTTCTTTGCCTTGTCTCTGAAAAAAACTGAAAGAAGTCCTTCTTCATCCATCACTTGATGTTTACTGGTCCAAGCAGCTTTTGAAGAGCATTGTCTACTGGACTGCACTAATTTGGAGTAACACATCTGTATAAATTACATGTAAGAGAGTAGAAATGGCTCAGAAATTTTCAGGGTAGGACTACTGCTCTTTAAAGACGATCATACCAAGGAGAAGGCAGGATGCTAGTCATTTTGACACAGTTCATCAGGGATCTTCATTTTCTTCAGAAGGAATCCAATTGTAAAGTCGGCCCTTCCATCTCCAGATGCTAAAAAGTAATCGATATAACATAGAAAGCTTAACAGTGTTTCTCCGTCAAAGGATGCTCACTCCTTTGACGTTTTGACTCCTCATTGGTCGTTTTCTGATTTGGCCATTAGCCCATGCAGAAGGGATTTATGACCAGAGTGCTCCACCCTCTCCAAGAGCATTTGCATGTAGAAGCCCTCAAGGCGAACATGGTTCTGAATATGAAAGCTTTTAGACTTTCCGCTGAATTGTGCTGGTTCTGAAGGGGACTAATGCAGCGGGAATAACACACATCTCATGTCAGATTGCAAACTGCTGCTATCGTTAGTTAACCACTGTAGTGGTTACTTGTCTGCTAAAGGAAAGAAGCACAGGAATAAGCAGGTCGCGACCCTACTGCTTTATGAACAGGACTTTCTTATGTGAGCTATGCAGTAGGAAGATTTGTGCAAACTCTTTTTGAACAGTGGTCTCTGAAAGTCCTCTACAAGGTATTAGAAACAGATGAAGAGGAGTTTATGAGGAGTGGTTGTACCTTTTTCTTAAACTGTCTTAAGTGGGCAGAGAGTTTTAGTACATGTTGTACTTGTTAACCCTTCCTCTGTTCACCAAAGATCTGGACGAGGGATTGATCCTAATTACTTGATCCTAATCCTCAGTGACCTGGGACAAAAGTGGACCTAAGAACTGTCAGGAGTGTTGGAGCTCATACAACAGGTTGAAGGTGTCATTACATTCATCACAGATGTCTCCACCCCTTTGTGGGAACTCTTGCTTTCTCTATGTGCAGAGAATAGGGAAAGTAATAGATAAGTTTCTGAAGAGTTGTGAGTATCTTATATTTTGACACCACAAAGAGTCACTACAGGTATGTAGTTTGGCCTTTTGTGTAACAGTGGCTCTAGGTTTCACCTAGTGACTTCTGCAGCTGGCTATGAATGAATGAGGTTATCTTTCAGAATCTGAAACAAGATTTTCTAAATGATGAAGAGCGACCACGTTGTCAAACCAGTGTCATGTTTGACTGCACTTACTTTAAAAAATGCAACTGTTGGTGCCACGTTGAGCGTGTTGTCTCCCGCTGTGTGACTTGACAGAATCTAGAAACAGTATGTGCCACTGTGAGCACTTGGAAATGATGACTCCATCTCTATTAATAAATAAAATGGTTGTCCTCTGGTCCTAAAAGCAGTTGAGATCATTGTTCAAACAGGTTAATTCCCTGTCATCCCCCGCTAAAAGAGGATGGCTATGTCCAGGCTTCCTATCAAGAAAGGTCACTGGACTGTATTAGCCTGTGACCCTATGGATGCGTGAGAGTTATAGGAGAGGATATTTGTTGGCCTTGTTGAAAACCATCGGGCACTGTGCTAACGCTTCAATAGTATGGACTTGTGCAGGACAGTGTGGGCCTGTGCCCTGCTGCTGATTTGTTTATTAGTGTGTATATAGCCAAAGCGAGGGATGCCATTCAGGAACACAATGAAATCAGTCAACTTTAAGAGTCGTCAGGAAGATCAAACTGTAACAAGAAGCTGAAGCTCTAAAAGTGACAAATGTCAAGATGTCCTGTGGAGGACGACTCGGGCTGCCAAGCACCCCGCTGCGTCCCCAGCTATTGTTTCAGCATTAACTGGGATGTTGGAGTGGCTTCCATGTTTCGCCATTCACAAGGGTCTAATTTGCTTGTAGGATTTCTTCTTTCCCAGCACCCACCAAGCCTGCTCCTGCAGTTTTTTTCAGTGAAGAGCAAGGAAACTGCAGCAGTCTCAGGCTTTTAAATGAGTTAGATGGAGAATTTTTTTTAATTGACATTTAAATGTCTTCTTTTGTATTTTCACCCTTTTCTAGCAGTGCTTCTGTCAGTGTAACTTATGGAGGTATGAGTATGCACAGGCTGTCCATATTGTTGCAGAGATCCTCTAGCACGTGCACCGCTTTCAGGGTTAAATTTGTCAATAAATAAGCAATGGAAAAATTGTTTGTAGTGTTAGTGAGGTTATTAATCCCAGAGGGCCTCCTCACCAAATTTACCTCTATAGCTAAAGGAAAAGGAAAGAGTTATTTGGAGAAGGGCAACAAACAAGACTGGAGAAATACCTGACTATTAATAGAATTTCTCAGTACATGTGGCTTAAACAGTATAAAAGACTTTAAAAAGAAAGAGTAACTAGTATCTGGCATTCTCTCTGTGTAATGAGGATGAGAGAGTTGCTGCAGATTTTTTTTAATTTAAGTGAAAACGTATGGCACAGCATACACTAAAAAACTAAAGAACCATGATCCATGTAATGTCTCTTCCATGCATTTAGTCAGTAATTGTGTCATTGCTTAGCAGTAATTATATGTCTTCACTTCTACCTTTGTTCTTGCTAGATTGTT